ATTGTCAATGCTGGTAACCTGCCATTATATGATGACATTGAACCTAAGCTCCTTAAGTTGTGTGAAGATCTGCTTTGGAACAAGGATCCTAACTGTACTGAAAAGCTTCTTCAGTATGCACAAGTATGTGACGTTGGTAAAAAATCAGTCTAACCTTGCCTAACAGCTACCTTCACATGACATCCACCAAATACATAGAAACAGAAAAAGGTCTTATCCCAAGTTGGTAACACTATAGAGCGAGTTTCGTATGACCTTGAAATGAAAACGCACGGACAAAACAGAGACAACAAAAAACGGAAATAGAGCGATATGATTGGTTTATCGAACGGGTAAAAACGCGCGAGGCTTTTGGTTGGTTCAGCGAACGCTCGGGTGAAAAGACGTCATGCCCAAGAACTTTCTAGAAATCAACCGATACTTCGCTTTGACGTCATACTGAAATACGATTGGCCAATCAAACACTGCCTTCTCCATATTAGGGTTTTCTTTGGCGGGAAAACAAAGAGGCCATCTTTTGATCTTTTCATTCATTGGCTAATAAAACAAATATCGAACACTTACCGAAACAATATATCAAGGTTATACGAAAATTGCTCTATCGTTTGTTTGGTGTAACACTGTGTTTATATTTGCCTCAAACAATGACGTGTTGCGTTCTTTTTTTCTGAATACAAAGGGATTGGGAAAAGGCGCGAAAAAGCAGGTAGTGACAGATGAATGGAGAAATGGAAATATTGAGGAAAGGCTGGAATATGCTCTGGTTAAGGTAATACCGCCACTGTTAATCATATACCATTGTATTGATAATCTTACATTTTGCAACCTCAGATTCCTAGTTATTAGACACCTTTAGACTTTAAGACCAGCACGACGAGTACGAGATTTTCTCAATACTAAGTAGTGTTACGCGCGTGAGCGAGCGTCATTTTGGCGGGAAAAGTGGTAGCCGTCGTCACTCTACTACGAGTCTTAGCGAGAATGTCGAAGTGGCGGAAACAGGTTATCAATTGTTAGAAGCTTTATCATTCTGCGATCGGGAGAGGGCGTAACCTCCTTCACTAACGGTAACAGTGCTAAATTTTTTAGTGAAAAATGGTAAAATGAAGCTTTCCGGGGAGTCTATGTTTTGCCGGAGATCTAATACGCGAAAAAACTTTAAGTCAAATCTAGTTTTCGTAGTCGTCCTCGTCATCGAAGGAAAGGTCTCTATTCGTAAATGTTGATCTTCTTTTAGGGAATTGACAAATATGTGGTTGAGGATACAGAGGAGGCACGGGCATGTACAGAGAGATATCCACGTCCACTGAACGTGATTGAAGGGCCGCTAATGAAGGTAAGCTTAAACGTTATCAGAACTCTGTATTCGCCATTTTAGAAGAGAGAAGGGAACTGAAGCCGAAATGCATTCCATAATTGTTTCTGGAATCGTTTCTGGGGACGCGCGGGTTAACGTGCGGGTCATCTCGGTATTGGCCGATCTTTTTCTCTGTCCCTAGTAACAGTGGCTCGGCGCGGGGGCGTGATAGCTTTCTCCAGCTTCATATATAGCAGTAGTTATCTTGGATAATCAAATCGTTAATTCAGTTTAGTTTAGTTAGTTCAGTTTAGTTTGATCGAATTTGTTTTCTTTTTCTATCTTCATTATAACGGCCAATGAACGACACGTAAGCTCTGAATTGTTAAGTGTGCTTTTCCCCATTCATTGTCAAAGTTAACTTAGCTCTTAGCTTAATTTTGATGTGATAAATGGTCAGGGATTCAGTTTTGCTGATTGGAGATTATTGTTCTTAACAATCAAATAGGATGTAAGACTGGGCATTAATTTGAGCTTTATTCTTTTCCAGGGCATGGGTATTGTTGGAGATCTGTTTGGTGCTGGAAAAATGTTTTTACCACAGGTGAACTAGCCTGCTTGCCTGCCTGTCGATGTTTCCTGTTTCCTTATGTATTTCCACATGATCGTCTCGAAAGATTGAGTAGCCTACCATTACAGCCGCTTCTTATTGCTTTCCTCCTCCTGGGACGTTTTGCACGGGTCCCCAGGGGCTGTAATTGCAGGCTAGCGATCAAGATGGTCCCGACTATTATGTTGAAACTAGACTTACATTTTGTAAGTTTAGCTTGTTTTTCTGTAATTCTTATTTATCCACATAGTTTATTTAGTTACTTTACAATATTATTTGTTATGACTGCTGTAACCTTTCCTCTCCGCCCGCCTCGTCTAGCTTTTGCTATTTGCGGGCGGAGATTGCAAAATGATGTGTATGAAATGTGTATGAATTCCATTTGAGCACGTTTATAAGATCAGTTGAAACACGTGGTCGATTTCAACGCTTTCCCCTGGACAAAGTTAAAAATCGCTCAAGCTTTCCTGAACTGGGCTTTTTAGCAACACTGCACGGGTTCGAGGAGACTGCACTGCGCATGCCTCCAATCAGAAGCGTTACACGTTTTTTTTTACGGAAATTGTAGATTTTTCAGAAAGGAAGAGAGCTTCTGGCCATGAAATCCCGATGTAATATGGTCAAATATCCTTTTACGCTGTTAATAATTAACCTACCATCCTCAAATGAAGCTACTGAGCAGCAGTACGTTCTTTGATGTTACACTCTCTGTTAATATATAAAGTGATGCAATGTTTGTATGCTCGTTACCTAGGTGATAAAATCTGCTCGTGTCATGAAAAAAGCTGTTGGATATCTCATTCCCTTCATGGAGAAGGAGCGGGAAGAAAGACTAGCTCAGATGAACGGTGATGGTAATACTGTGGAGGATTCACTTGCTGTAAGTTAGATTCATATGGACATAGTCAGCTTTCTGACCGCGCTGACCGCGGGAAAACATAAAACGGCTGTCAAGCGCGGGAGAACATACATTTACGGGTGCGAGACTGTCCGGGTGCGAAGCCTGGGAAAATGCGCGGGAAACTGAAACATGTAACCGATAACGGGGAATCATGTAGTCGGTGCGAAAACAGCCGTGTTGTCATTGTCAAAGCGAATATAGTTAGGGAACCAATTTGTCTTGATCGTTTTTGTTTGTTTTGTTGTTGATGTTATTGTTGTTGTTTTTTTTTCCGGAGTCACAAAAAGTAAAATCCATTTATGGCTAAGGAGCCACGCAGCTTTAAAAGAAATCTATATTTTGATTTGCCTTCGAAAACATACCTGCTATTTCTTTAGATAAACGGCTCGGGACATTGCTTGTTCGGACATTCGACTATTGTTTCGTTGTCTAATTAAACAACTCCTTCTTGGAGCTTTAAGGCGCCCCGTAGTGGCTATGAGAGTCGATGATTGTCATAAATATGACAAATGCTGTTACTGCCTGAGAGCAACCGTACCACTGTACAGAAAATATAAAGCAAGCTTCAAGGGGAATATTAATGTGTAGGCCGTGCCAATAGCTTGCAAACCTTAATTTGGTGCTCAATGAGAGGATGTGCACTCGTTTCAAATAACTTGGGGAGAATGCGCAATAGTGACTTTGCGCCGGAAAATTTGCAGCGGTAAAACCAAGATGTCGTGTGTGTGCCATAAGTCAGTATTTTCTGTCAGATTGATTGAAGTCAGCTCTACAATTTTATTGAACTATTAAGTATTGGCAGGAAAGCTGTGGTCGAATGATCTTTTAAGCAAATGTATGAATTTCTATTTCAGAGCCGTTACAATGGAACGATAGTTTTAGCCACTGTGAAGGGAGATGTACACGACATTGGCAAGAATATCGTTGGGGTTGTGTTGGGTTGCAATAACTACAGGTATCGTAATTTGTTTTGTAATTTTTTGACCCACAAAACACTTCCGAGTTTTAAAAATCTGGTTCGTTTTCGCGTGTTTGGGCGTTCCTGGTCGACTTGGAATTTTTCAGTGGTGGTTCTTTCGTCGAGGGGAAAACCGAACTACCCAAAAAATGAACTCTCTAAGCAAGGATGAGGACCAAGAACAATGAATTCAATGCACGTGTGACGTTGCCTTGGAGATTCGAATCCAGACCACATTAGGTGGCAAGTTTTTAAGATGCTCTTACCACTTCACCATCTTCGATAGCCCACGTTCGACGACTCCGAGTATTTACGAACGACTCCATTGTTTCGCAATTCCCAGAAAAGACTTGAGCATAAGGAAAACCAACCAGAAATATAGAAATATAACCAGAAAGCCTCGGAGTCATGTTAGAATTTTAACATATCGAGCACAACCACGTTCCCCGGGTCCTCTCCAACTCGCGCTCCGGGAGACGAGTAGGAGAGGACCCTGGGAACGAGGTTGAAGGGAGTGTTGTTCCAAGTAGAATGGAGTTCTTCTTTTTGCAACGATTACCACAACATACAGGGATGGTTCCAGAAGATTGCCAGCTATATAAATACTACAGAGAACCCAGTAACTTGAACTCTGACCTGTGACAGGTCGAGTTGGCGGGGAATTCGAGTTATCGTGGTAAATTTCTGTGAAATTTTGGTCAAGGGAAGGAAAATTTAGGTCGAGTTAGTGGGGATTAGAGTTAACCGAGTTCGAGCTATCGAGGTTCTACTGTAGTTATTTTTTGGTCGCAGAACTCTGAGAGCTTCTGTATCCTAATATTGAGGCTCTAGAAGACAGGTTTTACTCAGAGATTCAAAGGGGATATGGCGGTCCCCTATGCCCCCTTTAAATCCGCCCTTGACTTATGAGTGCGAAACCTGTTTAGTTCAGTTGTGTTACACTACGCAACGTCTCATGAAACTTGTTTCGCAATTGCGCTATAAAATCGCTGAAGCCGTTACATTGAACATTTTCTCAGTGTAACGAGCTCTCTCATTGGGTGTTTTTGTCTTTGCAGAGTGATCGATCTTGGTGTAATGACTCCATGCGAGAAGATTCTACAGACTGCTATTGCCGAAAAGGCTGACATTATTGGCTTATCCGGATTAATTACACCATCTTTAGATGAAATGATTCACGTCGCTAAAGAAATGGAAAGACAGGGACTAAAGATTCCGCTCCTCATCGGAGGTGCCACGACATCAAGGTATTTACAAGTAAAATTCCCAACCAGGTACACTTTTCTCGCCTTAATGTATAATAAACTTCGATAACGCTTTCCTCTGGCTAAGGGGTAACCAGGCCCCAGTTGTTAAAAATGTTGGATAACGATATCCATCGGATAAATCTCTATCCACTGGAAAGCGCAGTTGGTTTCCCTTATGCTGATCCACTGGATATTAATTTACCGGTGGATAGGGCTATCCATCTTTAGAACAACCGGGGCCAGATCCATAAATCCTTCGTCAACAATAGATTTACCCAGATTTATCAGTAGTTTCTTGGTTTGGCGGACGGCCTCCATCACGAAATGACTTACTACAAATATTGAAAAGGCACTGACAGGAGCCCATAACTAGGAGCGAGCAACTCCCATACTAGGCCTATGTCACGACGTTTTAAAGGTCCAGTTTATTTTTACACACATTTACGAGCACTTTTTCCCGCGAAAATAGAATCTCCACCATGTTTCTGAGCGCGTTCGAAGATATCAAAAAGGAAACTAAACGTTATGAAAAGGCAAAAAATATCATTTTAGGTCTGTAGGTTTTGCTGACTGGTTTGCGGAATTTAAAAGATATTTAGAATTCACGCCAAAACCGTTCTAAAAATAAACTGGTCCGCGATAACGCCGTGACATGAGCGCACGGAAGTTGTTCGCTCCGGGTCATGGGCTCCTGGCATTGAACAATGCCTACATCGCAAAACAAAAGGGAAACAATAATACTTTCCGCAACATCAAGAAACACCCGATTTATCCAGTGGGATCTCCATTTCAAAAAACCAAAAACACAGTACCAAAAAATTTTTGTTTTATGTATTTATTTGTATAATATCAGGACTCACACAGCTGTGAAGATCGCCCCACGTTACAGTGAACCAACGGTCCACGTGTTAGACGCCTCAAAGAGCGTAGTAGTGGTAAGAGAATTGTTTTTTATTCATTTCATCTAAGACTATAACGTGAAGGGTGCGCGAGTGGAGAGGAATTTTCCTCTCCTTCCTTCCTCGCGCGCCTTTCGCGTGTAAGCGCGCCAAATTCCCCCTGTTTCCTTCGAATATCTGCTTTGCAGGATATTTCATGTCGTGTTACCATTTTTGATATAAATTTAATGTGCCATTACTCATGTCTGCTAAAGGGGTTTTATACGTTTTGTGCGCTTTGTGCCGAGTAAAACTCTAGCCTTATAATAAACTGTCCTATTTCATCGTAGTGCTCCGCTTTAATAGACCAGAATTCAAAAGAAGATTTTGTAGATGAAGTAAAAGAAGAATATGAAGAAATCCGGGATGAGCATTATGATTCTTTGAAGGTAAGAAAGTTTCTTTTTCCATGTAGTGGAAAACGCTTTTTCATTCCGGCATACCACAATTGTATAAAAAACGGGCAATCGCGAAGAGACTGCCAAGGGTAGGGTGGGTAGGGTGGGCGGGGTTGGAGGGACAGAAGACGTGCAACCTAACGAGTATGAAGCGCGGAGAAATAAGTGCTGTCACCTACGCCATTTCCGAGCGACAGTACATTTGAAACCGCTTAAAAGCGCGGGAAAATGCATGCCAGCGCGGGAAATCGTACAGCCGGCGCCGAGCCTGCAACAGGTATGAACGACGGGACAATTTACTGCGTGAGGTCATGATCTGAAAACGTGCTAGTGGTTTAAGCACCGGAAAAGGGAAGAATGTTGATTTTATTGTATTTTTTTTTTTTTACAGGATCGTAAATACCTATCCCTGGAGAAATCACGTTTAAAGAAAGCGAACTTGGACTGGATTGACTTCAAGCCAGGTGAAAAAGAAGCGTTTTTGTAGTTCTTTTTCCTTTTGCAGCCTGTAGTATTCTAACAGCCGTTTCTGTGTTTTGAGGATCAGAAAGGGATCCAATGATAGCCCTTGGCCTTTCAAAACAACCTTTTTGATAGTACTTTCCAGTGGTACTGTTATTAAACTGTTCTGTTTGGTTTGGCCGGGGAGGGGGAGGTGGGGGGATAGTGTTGAACTAAGAAACCCGTAAGAAATTGTCAGAGTGTCCCACAATTCCCAAAATTGTCTTCGATATAACCCATATTAGAAGAGCAGAGTAAAATTCGGCGCTTCATTCATTTCAGAGTGTATCTGCTGTATACCGTTAGGTCGCGCATGCTGGATATTCAAAAGAAACCTGTATACCCGTATTCTCAAAAACCGACATTGGCTGTTGTCATTCTAACTTTTCAATCTGCTTATTATGCTATAAAAGGTGATTCTGATTTTTGAGTCTTTAGAGAAAATTCTGAAGTGCGACCATTCAAATGAAAACAACTGAGCAGTACTTTCCTGTAGTACTGTTAATTGTTCGTTACGAGGGAGTTCTAACTTTTGATTGTAGGGTAAAATCCTAAACGGTAAAAGGTTCTCATACACTTTGAGTGTTATCAATAAATCCATTTCATTTTCTACTTCTTTTTAGTTCGTCCGTCGTTCTTGGGTTCGAAGGTGATAGATGATTGTGAAATCAGTGAGCTCCTTCCTTACATTGATTGGAAGCCTTTCTTCGATGTATGGCAACTTAGAGGAAAATATCCCAATAGGGGATATCCAAAAATCTTTCAAGACAAGACAGTCGGTAAGCACCCTCCCGACCCTGACTACGTGTCCTCCTTATTGTACGGTGATTAAGAAGTTGCTTTTGCAAGTAAACAAGTAAACTCACGCGGCTACTACAGTCTACCGCGGAACAACCGTACAAGGGGTGGGATGTAGGATTTGCACCCCTTCCTCACTCCGTTGGGGGTGGGAAAGCGGTGCTACTTTGAATCTCTGATAATAGGGGAGCTTAAGCAACAACAACGGCAACGGCAACGGCAGCGAAAACGTCACTAAGAAAGCGGGCTTCGTGCTGTTTCAAACTTTTTTTCTCTGGTTCCATTTCATACAATTTTTTTAATGTTGGGGAATTCTTATAGAGTCGATTCTGAAGGACTGTATTTTTAGAAGTTCACAAGAAGAAGAAGAAGATCTTTTTTTGTGTGTTCACGTCCTCCATGAAACGTGAAACTATGAAGTTTCACCTCGTAGTTGTGTAACGACGGTAAAGAAATGCACAAAAAAGCGTGATGAACGTGCAGGCTTGTTCCAATCTAAACGTACTCCATTTTTGCCGTTCTCGTTGTCGTCGCCTTCTTCGTTGCTTAAGCTCCCTAATATCTAGATGACGAGCTGGGTGCGACTAGCCTTGTTAAACACTTCGCTTAAATTATGTTGGGAGCATTTTGCACGTTAAGAGTACGCAAAACTCGCTTTTTGGATAAATTTGGGTCGATGACGGTGACGTTTATGTTCGTCACCATAGCAACTCAATTCCGCCAAGCTATGCCGAAATGCGTCGACGGACTGAACTGAACAGGCAGTGATGACAAGGTCAGTGACGACGAGGTGTGTCGTCCAGGATCGTCCGAAAAAGTTTAATTAAAAATTATGTTAGAAGGCCCATTTATTACTTGTCCAAGAGAAAGTATCCTTCTCGTCATTGAAACAGGTAGTGAAGCGAAAAAACTATTCGACGATGCTGAAAGCATGTTGCAGAAGATCAGTAAAACTAAATCTCTGTGGCCAGTCGGAGTGGTTGCTTTCTATCCTGCCAATAGCGTCGGTGATGATATCCACGTGTTTGAGGATGATGATGCTAGGAAGGAATCACCACGTGCCGTGTTCTATGGCTTGAGGCAACAGGTTAGTAAACAATGTCACACACCGGCATCCGTTATTTCAAGTATAAATGGTACAATATGAGTAAGTGTTTAAGATTAGATATCACCTTAATGTATTTTGTTCGTGTTGAATTTCGGCCATTTTGAATAACTTAGACGTGTTGCTATCGCTAGCCTGTGTGCTAAGTGCGAAAAGGGGAGGGAGGGAAGAAGGGGGCGGGGGGGAGAGAGAAGAAACGCGTGAAAAAGAAACAGGAGAAGGGAAAAAGAGAAGGGATTTTTTGGAAGGGAGGCGGAGATTCCTCTCTCTCCAGCCGCCCCCCCTCCCTCCCTTTTAATTCCCACCCGTTTCTACGCGCCGTAACAGTATTTGCTCAAGAGAATTGCTGTAAAAGTGGTATGAAAAGTCAAAAATTGTCCACCAGTGAACAACCTTTTTCGTGTAGAGTCCTAAGGGTAATTCAGACTGGACAACGTTTCGCACTGTTTGACGACACCCGGAGAATATTGCCTTTTGATTCTGTTTTTTTGCCTTTAGCTGTTTAAGGTTTGCACGCGAGTTTTCACTTTTGCGGCGTTTCGACCTTGCGACCAGTTTAAACGAGTTACTAAGCTACGGTTGCCGTTAACTCTCACCTTGTATGACAGAGCTTGGTAAAAGCAGAAATTTGTATCGCGTAAATCAGCTGAGGGTTTTTCCGACTCTGTCAACTTATCCCCGAAGACGCGTCTAACGAAGGTAAAGTTTCTACAGATAAGGTAACTGTTCAAGCTTTTATTTTCAGGCCGAGAAGGAGCCTGGTGTCGAGGATCCATACTATTGCCTGTCAGACTTTGTAGCACCGCTGGATACAAATGTCAAGGACTACATCGGCTGCTTCGCTGTTTCAGTCATGGGAGCCGAGGAAATGGCCAAAAAGTAAGAAGAAGTAATTTACCAGGAATGTTGATGTTTAGTAGACGGTACTTGGAAAACATTGTAAGGAAATGTAACTACTTCGATCCGATATTCCCTTGAATTACAACTTGAAGTAAACATTCTCCTTTCACAGATTTGATGAGGAAATGGATGACTATAGTGTCATAATGGTTAAAGCTCTTGCCGACCGCTTAGCAGAGGTTAGTAATCAGTAAAGTCGTCGCACATTGTTTCATCTCAATGTCTTTTATCGACTGAAACATGTAACAAGTGTACTGTTTTGTTCGTACCAGGCTTTCGCCGAACAACTCCACGAACGCGTTCGCAAAGATTTGTGGGGATATTGCAGCGATGAGTTACTAGATGCTAAAGATATGCACAGGATAAAGTATCAGGTGGGTTTGATTACAACGTCTCTTGTTTTTCTCAGACAAAAGAGTTTTTATCTCGATTCCTACGGTGGCCGTGGACAGTTTTTCCATATTTTCAGCACTTAAAGGTTTGGTGCAAAATGAAAAATGTTAATGAAAAAGCGGTTGGTTGGTGTAACGAAATGTTCCCAAACGAATGCTTAGTTGCTAGGGAACAAGATATGTTTGTCATATTCCATAGCAACGGGACCACCTTTTTTATCACCCTTCATTTTATTTTCATCTTCTAATAACTCGAAAACGAGCTCAGCTTGGTCAGTTTTCGACAAATGTCAACTTTCTGGAAAAACTGAAAAAATCTTTGGAGAGGGTAACAGAATTTCCTTTAAATTTCCACGAGTTAATATTGGTTCTAAAGTGCCGGGGGCTCGATTTCGATTTGCGATCGAAATATCCCTCTCTTTTGTTAGGGTATTCGACCAGCCCCAGGTTATCCGAGTCAACCAGACCACACAGAGAAACTCACGATGTGGGAGTTGATGAACTGCGAGAAACTCACTGGAATCAAGTTAACAGAATCGCTCGCCATGGACCCTGCCGCTTCAGTGTCCGCCGTCTTCTTTGCTCATCCTAAAGCTGTTTACTTCTCTGTAGGAAAGATCTGCGAGGATCAGGTATGACATTACAACGCTAGATCTTGTTTTGTGTATTTTAAAGTTAGTGAGTAGACCGAGCAAGGAGAATATAAATGATAGTGGTGGCGTTGATTTTTGTAGATCCGCAATAAGGGGGTTGGGGGAGGGGAAAGAGAGAAAAACAGCGAAAGGGAAAGGGTGGGAGAGCGTCCTTTCTCACTCTCTCTCTCTCTCTCCAACCCATCACCCTCATCCCCTTCCTTCCCTACCCCTTTTGATGCCTGGGAAACTACCCACCTACCCCTCTCTTAAGCCACCCCTTTGCCTCAGGTGAGAGGTGAGTGTTAATGTTAGCTTAGGGGAGGAGTAGGTGGGCAGTTTCCCAGAAACCTACATTGATCCGCCTGCCACATAGGCGCCGCTGTATTTTGTCCCGTAGCCCCAGTTTTTGTCAGGCTTGTCGGCAAATAACCATTCAATTAAGCCGGTCAATTACGAAGACCAGGACGTGTAATAACTAATGTAGCCTTAGGCTTTCTCGTCTGTAGGTAATGTAGTGTGATGTGACTATGTTCAAGTGAAATCTCTGACTCTAGCAGTAGTTTCACCTGGTATTCCTATTTTCCCGTATTTTAGAAGATGAAATTTAGAAGTCTTCCTCAGTCGATTAAGTTTTGAGTTCTCTGTGGACATGTATGTGATGCATGAGGAATTTTAGAGAAGTTATTTTCCAACGCTTTGGTCATTTTCTACGTCGCTTCCAGGTCAAAGATTACGCGAAGAGAAAAGAAATGCCGGTTGAAGAAATAGAAAGATGGCTCTCGCCTATTCTATCTTACGACAGAGATTGAACTGTCAGAAGCGAGGAAATCTCTTAAATCTCTTTTTATGCTGTTCATCAACTCCAATCGCAGAAGACGGGTGTTGATCTTGTGCAGACGATCTTCAGGATTGTGCGAAGATTTTATCAGTGGATCTTTGATACGTTTGTTGTTGTGGATTGCACAACTTGTCATTTGATCTCTTGACGAAATATTTAAATGATGTATTTTTTAACACTAAGGGCTTGGAAAAACCGGATTGTTTGTAATATTCACAGAAACTCGTATTTATCAGTGTTATCGGGCCAGAATACAAGACTTGCTGAGAAGGGCCGTTTAACACAACGTAGGGGACGGGATATCTTCTTGTGGTAAATTTTGATCACCAATATTCTTTGCTCTTCTTCTGATAAGAAATACGTAATATATTCAAATACGATATTTATATTTTATTTTAAAAATACTTGTGACGTTTGCTCGCTGTAAGAGCGTGTTTTCAATCGAACTGTCACTCTGGAGCCTGACCAATCACAATAAACCCTCACAACCCAACGAACCAATCAGAGCTCGAGGTAAAGACATGTTGCTGCATGGCGCTGAGACCGGGAAAGCCAGTGTTTCCGGTTTAACACCTGATTTGCTGTGGAAGTGGCGTAAAAAAATGAATGAGGATGACGTGAAATTTCAGAACCACCAAATGAGCGATTAACTTCAGACAGGGTTAAAACTTTTCTGTCTGCAGACCGGCTAAATCGTTCCGCGCAATTAGATGATTTAAAAGAAAATCTGGTATGCGTTTTACAGGGTTTTATATGTACCGGTAATGGCGTTGTTTCAATTCGTTGTAAATGGTATACTTAATACACGGACCGTAAGTGATTAAAACAATGTATTTAGCATAAATTCGGTAAAGTTGACCAGTTGATTTTGCATCGGAAGCTACCACATTATTTGTCGACGATTTGTATTTCGTCTTTGCTGACAGTCCCTGTGGGAATTTCTTTAACCCGTTATCGATCCCTGTAAGGCCCTTTCAAACGTCGTGCCACTGCCGTGCCGAACTCAATTGATGGAATTAAATTCGACTTCAGCACGGCAGTACCGCGACGTTTAAAAACAAGTCGTGCTACTGCCTTTCCGTGCCGAACTCAATTCATAAGTTATAAATACATTAGAACACATTTAAAAGTTTGCTTAACCGTTTCTTTATCTTTGTGTTTTGTTTTCGGCAACAGCCGTTCTATTGGACTGAATTCGACGTCTAAAACCAAGTCGTGCTGCAGTCGAGCTTCAGTCGAGCCAGTTAGCACGGCAGTAGCACGACGTTTGAAACAGGCCTAAGGGAATTCGGATACCAGAATGTGCAAAATTTTGGCAAGTGGAATCCATAATCCAAGGAAATTTTGCTTGTGGAATCCGGAATCCTGGGCGTTGGAATCCGGAATACAACTCTAGTAATCCGGGATCACATTAACGATTGGAATCCGGAATCCAAGTTCCACTGACAAAGACTGGAATCCAGTACCTGGAATCTGGAATCCACAGCGTGGAATCCAGAATTCAAGACTGTACATGGGGCAACCTCTACGTCCCAAGAGTGACCAACATCCATTGTCTCCTAACAATATCAATACATAATCAAGGAAAAGGTGATGAGAATATTTGAAATGGTCACCAAAGGTGAAATGCTTTGATCTTTTGCCAAATTCTTTCAATGGATTCTGAAAGAAAATGTATGGAGACCAGTGTGGAGAATTTGTATCTGGATATTGGACCTTACAGGGTCAAAGGTTTTCTCTTCTATGTAGAACTTGTGCACCAATTTACGACGTTACAACAGTGACCAAGGTGGTTTACCATGAACAAAAAGTTCTCTGAAAATTGCGGTCGGTGGAGCAAGTGGAACATAAGTATTCCGGTGGATCCAATGGAAAAATTCCAGAAGCATCGATACTTCTGAAAAGGTAGTCCTGTTTTCTCGGACGGAATGTTCCAAACGGAAATTAGCAGCACATGCAGCTCTCCCAGTTTGCTTGCCCGGGGCAATTACTTGCTTGTCTTAGTTAATGATCTAGTTGGAGAATGCCTTGCCGAGACCCCTGACCATTGGAAAAGTAAACTTTAAACGTTACTTGGCCCGCAATTAAATCTACATTTCCCGGACTGCCGTACGAGACTGTTTTTTGAGCCCTAAATTAGTGTTCCATTTCTTCAAACCCACCTTTGAAACTAGTTTCAAGCCATTCCCTTCTCCCCCCGCCCCCCAACCCTTACTTGACGATCTGCATCCGCCACTACGGTATGCAATGGAAGGGAGGCTGTTTACAAGGAGAGAGCAAGATCCTAGCAGCGGGAAGATGCTAGAAGATCCTGTATTCAGTTTACATGCAAAGGGTTGTGCCTAGCGATAGGATCTTCCTAGCTCTTCCTAGCAATAGAAAGATCCTAGCACCATATAAACTGCTTTCGGGGGATAAATGGCGGTGGGTCGTTCAGTGGATAACCACCGCAAAAAAAGCCGACAATTTCGTTTGGCGCCACCAGTTGTAAAGTACTGCCATCTGCTGCAGAAAGGTAGTTAATAACGCTAATAAAGAAAGCAGAAGCGGGGCGCAA